ATCTAATGAGCTATGATGCCCTCATGCTAGAAGCCACCTTCCATAATGTTATGATATGAATGTAATGGAACTTTATACAAAGCACCTATAGGCTAGCTATGAGTTGCAATTCCTTCTTTTGGGAAGGCAGAGGTTCGTGTAATTCTCATGAGATGAGACTGTCCTTCCGTACTGGAATGGGTGTCCTTATATTTCCTAGTCTTTGAACCTATACAGCCAATATAGGGTTCTAGCAGGGTTTGACTCCCTATATACTCTAGCATGTTTTGGTTCAGTTTGGCCGGTGATTCCACCTCTTTTCAGTGTGGGGTTAAAAACTGGATTTCATAATGCTCACATGATCTATGTCGCTTAAGGTTAAAGTTCCCAAAGAAAGAATGAGGTCAACCTCAGATAATGCACATAATGAAATGAACGATACCAAAGGTGTTAGGATAAGATGATAAAGAGGTGACCTAGACTTAAGTAATGACACTAGGTCATTCTTGGTCATTGCACAGTGAACCCGATGAAAGTCTTAAACTACATCCTAGGTGTGGATGGTGTTTACACTAGCTTACGAACGAATGAAAATGAAGTGCGTATGAATTAATGAAGCAGACTCTGTGTTTTCTAAAGACGGCTCCCTAGTTAAGGTCCCATATGTTGAGCGCTCATTTTGGGAAGTCCTAATGTCAAGTTTATGATTCCAAGGTCTCATGGAATATGAAGGAATTATATGAACTATATAATATGATATGTGCAATATGTTATATGTTGTTTGTAAAATGAAATGTATGATGATGCTTGTTACTCTCATAACATGACTTTCCTGATCAGATTTTTCCAAGTCCACTAAATTGACTTTCCACAATTCATATCGTTAGGAGATAACTCTTCTTAATCATGCATGTCCTTGGTGTGTGGTTGCATATACCCATACTTAGTACAAGTGTGTACTAATCCCATACAACTCTCTACTTTTAGGTGCAGATGCAGCTGGACTCTAGAACTTACGAATCGACGCTGAAGTTATCCGGACTTGAAGCTTTCATTCAGATTTGGTAGGCCCTCATACTTTCGAGGATGCTTACTATTTTATTCTAGCATCAGACGTAGAAATTAGCTAGTGGAGTATGTTCCACTAGTTTTTCTTTCCCAATTATTTTCAGATATTGTATTGGTGCCATTTTGGCAACTCTATATTTTATACAAATATTGACTATGTCTTTCATTTGATTATCTTGATAGTAGATGGTTTTTGTGAACGCTCATGACTTTATGTAGATTGTGTTATGCGAGTTCAAAGTTTCTCACTATGAAGTCTCTAAGTAAACAAAAAGGCTCAAATTTTCTGCTAAAATTAACGTAGATGATGTAACGATGACGTATGTAGACTTGTCTGCGATCTCTGAGAGGTCAACGATGCCAGTTTCGGCTAGGGTCTAGACTCCAGTCGTGACAACAAATCATGTAGTCATCATGGGCAGAGAAAGGATCATACTTTTTAGATGATTCTTTAGTGCTTTTTTAGCATAGACTAGTGGATCTACTTAGTATTTCAGGTTCTATAGGATGGTCCTTGGAAACGTGAGCTAATGTTTTGTACCATTACTTAGTCTTATAGTGATGTTTGTCGGTTAGAAAATCTCCCCAGAAGTTATTGTATTTTTATAAGCATCAGCTTATTGTATTTTTACATACAATCAGAATTATGTTTTATCCTTTTATATAAACAGATTTGACATCATGTATTTAAATAGGCTTTTCTTTCTATTGCATCTGTTTTAACCTGCTTTATAATGAAATGAGTTTAGTTAAGTAATCATGAGTTGAGAAGAGTCAGGTAAATGTTTCTTTCTGAATCTCTTTCAAGCCTATGTTTTTAGCATTCTAACTTACGTACTTGTACATTCAATGTACTGATGTCAGTTGGCCTGCATCGTATTATGATGCATACGCAGTTAACCAGGATCAGTATCCAGCGCTTTGTTCATCAAACTTGAGCATTCAGAGTCTTTTGGTGAGCCTTCTTGCATTCCTGAGGACTCTTTACTTGCTTTCTGGTTTAGATCATTAGGATGTTGTAAGGTTTGTCCAAACATCCATCTTAGTTATGTTAGAGTCTTCGTAGATAGTCACATGTTAGTCCTTTGGGTCTTTGCATTATTATTTCTATTGTTAAGACATGGGTTGTCATTTTTGGCCAAGTTGAATGTTTAATCTTTAAAACATTCTCATTTAATTTAATATTCAATTCAATTAAGTTCATTGATCGTTATAGATATGAATATTATCTTTTGTTGAGTTAAGAAATTCAGGTCAAGGGTTTGCTTTGGGCTAGCAATGCTCTTCGAGTGCCAGCCACGTCTTGGGTGTAGACTCGGGGTGTGACAGTCTGTTCTTCTTAAATAAAACCCAAACCCAATCAACACTTATTCATAAAAAAATTTTAGAAATTTTGAGACTTTTACATATCTAATTAAGGTGATTTAATATTTGGTACATTTGGAAACATTGATGTTACGAGGATGATCAGTCGAGGAATGTCAAAGAGGCTTCACTTGAGCTAAATTATGTTGTTTTGGGATTGCATTACCTCTTTTATATATTATTCTTTAAATTGTGAATTATAACATGTTGATTGTTTGAATTATTTCAAGACTAGGATTGTGTTATGTTTTAGAACATAAGTTTTGAGAGTTAATTAGGACCTTTTGATAGAGTAGTGTCAAGAAATTTTAGTGCGGGTTCCACATTTCTCATTTTGATTCTAGTTTTGTTCCATATCCATTGTAATTGAATATAATATCTAAACATTATTATTAACATAGTGATTCTATAATTGATAGTGTGGCGACTTTCGAAGGTCATTCATAATGAAAAAGATCCAGAGACGTGATTTAGAGCTCGCGTAGTTATCCTAATTATATCGAGCTTGATTATGTGAAAACATGTTGATTTTTGTGAATTTGGGGCAGGTACTTAGTTGATCATGTTAGCTTACTTGTAATTCATGTTTTGGGCTAATTTCAAGCTTTTCCAGGAGAAGAAGCATGTTAGTAGCTAATTGTGATTGTCCTTACCTTGTGGTATTCCTTCATTGTTTTTATCATTGTTGTGTTTGAGCATGTTCGCTAAGCTAAGACTAGTGTTTTTCATACACTTGCAATATTTGGAGTCGTTTTCCTTATTCTAACCTAACATTGTTTGGATGGTATAGTTCCTTTTAGACTGATGTAGCAGACTTGTTCTGACAGAATTAGCCTTAAATTAGGCAGTCACTTAGATGCAATGACCTTCCATCTATTTCTCCCTCTTTCTATGGCCCCCTATGCTATGACTGAGATATCAGTCTTCGCTTGGCGACTTGGAACCGCATTTTTGTTCGAACTTAGAGTATCGTACTTATTATCTAGGAATCTATGTCATTCTATGATGGTTTTATGTTAACGAGTTGATTCGAGATCCTTCAACAACCATTATAGTCGTAGATTAAAGGTCTGACCATTTGCTACTTATCGTTTATAGAGTTTATTATATTTGGTTGCACATTAAAGGTGTTGATATCTGATCTTCAATCGCAATCCATGATGGGGATCTTTATTCTCTACGGAGTTGATACACACCTGCTAGAGCTTATTGCCTCTTTGAAGAGTATCCACGGTTTCAGGTCTAGGTTTCACGCTCCTTGTCTATGGGTGATTCTTATTGGTTATTTGGGAGGCTATCCGTGGTTCAAGGGTTGGACTAATCTTTCTACGGCTCAAGACTGATCGACACTTGTTATTAGTAGATATAGCTCTTCTGGTTACCCTTCGGGCATATGTGTCCACTTTGACTCTTACTTAAATTTGTGCACGAGTGTATACCTTTTAGGTTGTAAGGTCCATTTAGGTTTTGTTAGTTTTATGTAGTTTATTTCTTAGTACACTCGTGTGCATATTTTTAAAATTTTTCTTTTATCTATGTTATGTCTAGATTCTAGCATTTTATATTGCTTTTACTTTTCTTGCTCAGTTGGCCTATGATACCTACTAGGTACCTGTTGTTTTGGTACTCATGTTGTACTCCATATTTTTTTCGTGATGCACGTCCGAGTACCAACTACCTGTGTTGATATTCGAGCCTATTGCACTTGTAGTTTAGAGGTGAGGGTAAGCACATGACATTCTAGACTTACCTGTCTCTATCTGTACTTTGTTAGATAGTATTTTGTCTTTTTAGATAAGTCTTGTATTTTGGGTCCACTTTTGAGACTTGTTCTCTTTTTATATTAAAAGCTATATACTTGTGACCTCTAGGTTCTGGAAAGGATATTTTATATAGATTATTTTGGTTTGCTTCAACATGTTGTTCTATTTATGTCGTTAAATTGGAACTTCCACTTTCTTTCTATCCTTATATTCACTTGGTGTTTTGGATTACTGGTTGGCTTACCTACTGGTGGATTATAGTAGATGTCATCTTGACTCGAAAAATCAAATAATGACATGTTCACCATTAATTTTGAACTTCAACTTTTTCAGATATAATTTACATATTAAAAATATTGAAGTCCTTTACTTTAGAAAGACCGAATCAAAAGAAAAAAAATAGCACTTATACACGATAGATAAGTTAAAATTGCATAAAATTTCACGTTGAATGATCATTCGACGTACCATATGAATAATATAATTTATACTACGATCATTCTAAAAGTTGAAAATAAAGGTGAAAAATCTTGATATTTTTGTGATATAAGAATCTCAATTGTCTAAATATTAGACTAACAATATGACTATGTAATATACTTCTATCATAGTTATATTATAGGGTAAAAAAACTTTAAGTATACAATTTAGTAGCTTTAATTACACGAATATAGCAATATTTTTTTTTCAATTGAATGGCAATATTTTTTTTTCAAAACTGGAATTTTTATTAAAAATAAAAAAACGTTTACCAAGTCATCCACAATTCTCCATATCCCTTAAATTTCTCCAATTATTAAACCTTTCCTGATTTACTCTAATTTGTTATATATCATATCACATAAAGAAAGGTTTCCTTCAAATAAAACTTCTCTTCCAATCTAAGATCAATGATCAAATATGTAGAACAATAATTTTTCAATTTAATTCATCTCAGCGAGCATTGGAACTCATCGGGTAACCTTTTATACAGTAATTCCTTTGGATTTGTCAAATTTGGTGAAATATACATTCATAAGATTTTGGTTAATGTTCTCGTGCACTATAAAAGGTTTAATTATTAAATAGATATTAAGATTTAGCAATTGTTTGTGGAATGTTATTAGGATTTTCACATAATCTTTGTGTTGGTTCTTTTTGGTATTTATTCATTGTTTTATACTAACGATTTTGTTGTAATACAACAATATCATATGATTTTGTTTGTAATCTGATGAATCGGATAAGTTTTTGTTTTTTTTTTAAATAAAAAGGTTAAATTGATTAAAGCGCCAAGTTAATGTAAAATCATTATTTAAGTGATTTAATTGGTATGTTGCATGTCGAATGTTAACAAAGTTTATCAATAGTTTCATTTGGTATGTGATATGGTGTACACATACCAACTTCAACTTAAATTTAATATACATATTTTTGTGTATTTAGTTGTATTATTTGGTATATGAAATACAATTTCAAATTATTTTTTTTTTGTAAATCTTTTGGTGTATTTTATTGATCTGAATTGGTGTAGATAATAATTTGAAAATTGGTCATATGTGATCTGGTACATAATCTAGCATATTTGTTTCTATAAGTTGGTGGTAAATTAATACTCTGATCAATGTGTTGGTGTATTTTTTTTATTAAATGTTAGATTACTTTTCATACGTAGATCGGTGCAGCAGTACATTGTATGTTTTAACTGATTTTGTGAATTACCACAAATTGGTTAAGGTATGTGATGTGGTACTTAAGCTGGTATATTTGTTTCTAGTAAATGACACCAAAATAATACTCTTGATGTATAATTTTGTGTATATATTGTTCTAAAATATAATATCATAATTTCAAAATATGTATGCTATGATGATTGGTGGTATAAATTATTTGGTGTAATTGATGTGAAAATTTAGGTGAAAAAATTGGTGAATATTTTGGAAGCGGTTATGTGACTACCAACTGCAAGACAGCAACCAGACAGACCACCAAATAATGATCGTAAGAAGGGATTCAATGAAGAAAGTTTGCCCCAAATTGCCGGATCAAGCTCAAGTATAGTACTTTCTATTTTTTTTACTTAAAACATTATGTACTTGGAACTTATAGTTTTATGTTGGTAAGATGAATTATATAATAAAAAAAATTCATGTTTGCGAGTTATTGATGTTAACTAATCTTTTTCTGTACAAATCTATTTATGTAAATGGTTATGAAATAATTGTAAATGTTAATAATAGAAAACTATGATTTCAATATTGGTGTAGTATTCAAAAAGTTATTATCTATAATATGATATTTATGTAATTATCGTTGTAAGGTTGGTGTGTAATCATACTCTTACAAAACTATCAAAATTACAAAATCTAATGCATACTGCGTGACCCTTTGAAGGTGGGTTGAATTTAAAGTAGGTCTGTTGAAAGAAATTGGATCAAAAAATTTAATTGATTTACGATTTGTATTCTTGAAGTATCTTAATCTTTCTTACATAAACCTTTTGATTCTTAGTTTATATGATCTCTAGTATTGTCCAGCATATATTGAACAGCTTTCACGTTTGAAAATTTTAAAGGTACAAGATAACAATGGTGACATTCAGATGAACAACAACATATATTGAACAACTTTCACGTTTGAAAATTTTAAAGGTACAAGATAACAGTGAAAATTAAGATGAACAAAATTCAGAGAGAGTAAGAAGAAAGAAGAACGAAGAAGAAAAGGAAAGAGAGAAGTTTTTAGTTTTCAAAAGAATAAAACAGCTTTGGAAGTAATAATTTCTTGGAAAACTGAAGAGGTGGAAAGATTAAAAAATATCTTTAAAACTTAGTAATAACCATTAATTAGTGAGATAAATTTAATACATGATAATCGTCCCCTAAATATAGGTACAGAATATCCAAAATATGATATACTAAAATAAAAAATAGATAATGTTTAAAAATAAATATTAATTAAATATGTCATGTTTGTAATTTAAAAACTTCATTTGTAATTAAATATAAGTATGTGTATATATTGTTAATTAACGTCTTGAGTAGTATATTTTTATAGTTTTTACTATATGAGTTTATATGTACAGAACTAATAGTAAATTAATTTATTTCTTGCAGGAACTTTTGAATATTGACCATCTTTCGTCACCAATGTGCTTAATCAATCAAATAATTTTTTTTTAGAAGCTTCCATTAATAATGTACTATATTATTTGCATCTGGAGTAAGTGTTCTCATAATGATTGTTGTATTAATAGCCGTCATCATTGGCAAAATTGGGGAGACTTTTCTTTTAGCATGTTTTGATCAATTTAAAAAAAAAAAAACAATTCTTAAAGTGCACTTTAAAGAAAATATATTTTTTAGGCATAATTTATAAATATATTTTTTAATTTAATCTTGTTTCACGTTTTTATTCTTCAATTTCAAAAGTGTACAAGCAGACATTTAAATTTATATAAAGTTAAATAAGTAGAAGCATGAGTTCTACATGACATAATCTACAAAGCATACCACATAGAATGTAAATTATCTTGTAAAACGCCGCGTATAACGTGTGTTTCTATTTCTTTGACTTTACACAAGTTCGACTATTATTTATATACACCTGAAATTAAATGATATAAATATGAGCCGAGAGCAAATTATATGACATATTTATGTATTATGCCTATCTTTCATTAGAAGTAATTTGTGTTTGATCAATATATTTGTAAATTACGTTTGAGCAGTACATATTGAGTGACCATAATTTTAATGGTAGTTTGATGTATATTTCTTACATCTCTATGTTCTAGTGTTACTTATATACACCTGAAATTAGATAATATAAATGTGAGCCGAGAGCAAATTATATAACATAATTATGTATTATGTCTATCTTTCATTAGAAATAGTTTGTGTTTGATCAATATATTTGAAAATCATGCTTGAAATGTAGATATTGATAGATAATAATTTTAAAGATAGTTTGATGCAATTTTTTTTTTAAAAAATGGGAAGTTTTCTTACATCTCTATGTTCACTAAATTTGCTCCTTCCTTAGTTTCATGAAGCTAGCCTTAACGACATAACTTTTTTTTTTAGATGGAAGATTTTGTGAATGAATTCAATTAGATATCTTTGGGTATTAGGAATCAAGATGACGAAAGATTAAAATTAAATTGTGTCAGAGGTTATAAAGAGACAGATTACAACAAATTGACTCATGAAAATAACTGGAAGTAGGAATATCCTTTTTACGACTTATTCGTGCTATAAGAGAATGGTCCGACTAGTTAGGTTGTCTAACGCATTATTTATTACTATAAAAAGAATCATATCATATTAGCAATATCTTTATCCTTTTTAAAACTTTTGGAAAACTTTTTTTTCTACTCTGCATTTATAATTTTTTTTTTCAAAAAACTTGATCATATATACCTTACTTTTAAAAATAAGTGTTTTTAGTCTTTCAAAAACTTGACCATACACCTTATGTTAAAAAATAAGCATTCTTGGTTCCTAAAAACTTAATCATACCCCTAATATTTAAAAAATAAATCTTTTTAACCTCTTAAAAAGTTGACCAAATAGGCTACTAATGAGAGCAATTTATTAGTTGCATAAGTAACAACACATTTTCTAATTTAAATCGATATCTATATGATGTAAAGGAATTAATATATTTTTTTCTTAGAAGCGGATGATCATTCCAATATAAGGTACGATATACTCACAATAATATAAAAAGTACGAAGATTCACGTAAATTATTTGCTAAAATTTAAACTGCATCTTTTTTGTGTATTCTCTTATTATATAAGAGGGAGTTGTTTACACAAAGTAGGGCTGGCAAGGGGACGGGGAAGGGGACTGGGGGACGGGACAAAGGGGGACGGGACGGGACGGGACGGGGGACGGGGAGGGGGGATTTCACCCGGGACCGGGATTGGGGGGACGAAAATAGGTCCCATCCCGTCCCACTATATATATGGGATGGGACGGGACGGGATGGCATGGAACGGGGGATTCTTTTTTAAAAAAAATATTTATATATTTTTATTGAAATGGTACGTCTTTAGCTAATAAATTTTAAATTTTCGATTTTCAAATATCAAAATAAATTTTCTAATTTAAAGTTTCAATTTTCAAATTTTTTAAGATTCATTTTTCAAATTTCAAGTTTCAACTTTAAAGTTTTAAATTTCAAATTTGAGAAGTTTAAATTTGTAATTTAAATATTTTAAAGTAATGTAAATTGTAAACTATAAATTAAGTATTTTAAAATTAGTTTAGTACTTTAGTATATATATTTAATTGTATATATTAAAATTAAAATTCAAAACAATAATTGTATAAAAAAATTTATTCAATAGAACTTATAAGTTACAACTTACAATAACAAATATTAGTGAAGTAACTAATATACGCAGTCGCCTTCTAGGAAGGGTTCTGTTTCAATAAGTTCTCATACGTAAAATTAATATTTGTTACAGATATTAGATGAGTAACTAATTTTACGCAGCCACCTTCTAGGAAGGGTTCTGTTTCAATTAGTTCTCGAATGTAATCTAAATAATATCTGTTTTCTCCTTTAAAATTTAATTTTAATTGTCGCATCATATCGATGGTGATATCCTCCGGTGTTGGCAAACTTGTTAGAAATTCTTGTGCGTCTAATTCATCATCACTGCATTCACTACAAGTTTTGATCCAAGTTGCTTGTTTTTTACTTAACTTTGGCAAATTGTTATTCCTCCTTTCGGCATTGCACCAGTCTCTAAATAAAACTGTTGTTTTCAAACTGTGTTCCGCCAATGAATGTCTATGATCACCGATTTGAAACCTTGCCGCACTGAAAGCAGCCTCCGATGCAACTGATGAAGCTTGAATAGCTAGAATATCACGAACCATTTTGCTCAAAGTTGGAAATGCATCGCTTCGTCTACTCCACCATCCTAATAAATCTTCATTGCCATCTTTGATTTCCAAGTTTTCTAAAGATTGATTAAGATATTCTTCAAAATCATCACGGTTAGTAGAATTAAGACCAAGAAAACCTCGCATATAACATGAAATTGGAACTGACAAATCAATCTCAACATTAGAAGTTTGACCAACTTCTCCTTCAAAATTTTCACTAGTTCTATATTTTTCATACAAAAGTTTTGCTTCTATTTTTATGCTACACTTACACGTTTCACAATCTGGAGTTTCTTCCGGTAAAATTTCTAAAGTTTCATAAAAAGTGTCGACAAGGCCTTTCACACCTTGTAATTTATAAGCAGGATAAAGTAAAGTAGCCGTTAAAAAACTTGAGGAATAGGAAAAAAATATTTTTTAAATTTTTCAATCATACCTTCAATTGCAACTCTAAAGTGATCTATTTTTTTATATTTAGAAAATTGAATTGAAAGAGCACAAATATTTATTAATACGGATGAAATAATAGGATAATAAATTCCCGAAAACATGGTAGTAGCATCATAAAAAAGTCTTAAAAATTGTAATAGTTCTTTAGTTTCTTCCCAAGCTTCATCACAAATTCTATCTAATGGGTTAGCATTATGAGCATTAAAAACCATTTGTACGGGTCTTCTATATTTATAAGCAACCGAAAGCATTTTGTAAAGAGAATTCCACCTTGTTTTAATATGTTTTGGAATTTTTCTAGGTGACAATTCACATAGTGAACAACGCTCATTAAATTCCCTAATTCTAGCAGCATTGTTTTTATGAAAAATCCAGGTAACAGCATATTCAACTTTTACGCTACCACAATCAAATAATGAAATACCATCTTGTACAACTAAATTTAATATATGTGCAACACATCTAACATGAAAAACTTTATTGTCAATTGGACATAATCTAACTTTTAACATGTTAGCCGCATTTGTATTATTAGATGCATTATCTAATGCGACAGACATTATTTTATCTATAATCATGTAATAATCAAAAACACTTAAAATATTTGTAGCTAAATATGCACCAGTTTTTTTCTCTATACATAGTTTATAACATATAATTCTTTTTTGCAAATTCCAATTATGATCAATCCAATGTGCAGTTACAGTTAAATAATCATTTCCATTAACACTACGACCCATGTCCGAAGTAATAGACACTCTACTATCTAATATGCTAAATAGACAACGAAGAAATTGACAATGTTTACCTTGATATTCAAAAACATCAGTTTTGACAGTATTTCTTGAAAAACCTCTATAATCCGGATTATAAGTTTGTTGAATATATTCGACAAAACCGGGATTTGAAGGAAAACTATAAGGCAAACCACAAACAGAAACTATTTTAGCTAAATTTTTCTGATCTAATTCCTTATTATATTTACGTTGTGTTATTGAACCAGCGGGGTTAAAAGGATCTAATGTTCCTTGAACCATGTTAGAAGCCACTATTGATGCATTACCGGTAATATCTAATTCATTAATTTAAATTCCCTTTTTTCTATTGGCTAATGATTTATCTTCTTTATATTGAATCGGCACACAAGATAACAAATGTCTATTTAATCCCCCCGTTCCACCTTGACCCCCACCTTGTTTATGTTTAAAAGCTTGCTTACACTTATTACAAATAGCAACACTATTTTCTTTATCAAAAGTCATAAATTGCCACACAATAGAAGTTTTAGGTCGTTGATACTTCACCTTCTCCCTTGTGGGAGATATAAGGGGTGGATGTCCAAAATTTTGCTCCGGTAAATTGATAGTCTCATTTGGAACTTCTGTCACCGGACTAGTAGGTGTTTCATCTAACTCCTCTTCTCCCAAATCAGCTTCTACTTCTTCACCTGAATTTTCATCAACATTAGAATTAATATTACCATAACGTCGTTCTAAACTTTCGTGATCGAGTTGAACATTTGAATCAATATTATAAGGAGTATCATCAACATAAGTAGAATCATTTATGTTAAATCTAACTCTACTCGTTGATTTAGATGAAGTACCACCACTTTTACTACTCTTTTTTTCTTTACTATTTTTTTTACCAAAATTAAATAATTTAAAAAGTCTACTTTCTTCGTTATGTTGTGCTTTCTCTTTTCCTTTACCGCTATTTTTTTTGCTAGAACTCATACTTAATTTTATATATATATATATATATATATATATAAAGTGTAATATAAAAATAATAATAACACAAAAGTAAAGACGAATAATAAAATATAAATATTATGAAACGAATGTACCAAACGTTTGCGTTAATAGCAAACGTTAAATCAATTGTTGAAGCTTGTGATTTGTTGTAACTTGTAATTTGTAACTCCAAGCCAATACTTGATAACAAATATGAGATAATATAATTATTTTTATTGA